AGATGTGAGATAAAACCACTAGCCGAAGCCTGACGTTCTGTGGAATCTAAAGAAGCTAATTCGTAGAAAAAATCGTATGTAGACACCATTGCTGTTTTGGAAAAAATTTCCAAAATTTCCATTTATGTTCACAATGGCATACTAAATAGGATGGTGTCACGAGATTATCGAAATCTATTTAATCAGCGTTGGATGATTTGAATTTTTCCCCGTATAAAAAATGCCTCGTGGTGTGTCTCTCGAAAACGACTTTCGAGCTATCATTGATGATCAAACGCTTAGCGATCTTGATATCATATGTTCTGACGATGTAACCATTCGTGGCTGCCGTATTATTCTTGCAGCTCGTTCCGATTTCTTCCATTCTCTGTTATTTGGTCAAATGCGCGAAGCTCGCCAAAATGAAGTCACCTTCCCAAAAATCGATTCCAAAACCATGAGAATAATCTTGGATTATATATATACCGGTGAAATCAGTAAATCCAGAGGGTCGACGCCGACTTTAGATGATTTAATTGAAGCATATTCCGCTGCCGAATACATTCAATTGCCAGAACTCAAAGTAGATATTTTGATGGATTTTGAGGAGACGATGGATAAAGCTCCCGAGGTGAATTTTTCTCCAGAAATGTTATCCTCTGCAATAGAAAAGCTATCACCAACCGCAGAACCGGACCAGCTTCTAGATATGCTGGCCGAGGGTGTAGCAAAGATGCAGTTGGAGGATATTCCTTATGAAAAATTGACAAATTTGGCTCTTTTCTACCTTGTTCGTCATTGTAAGGAGAAAAAGAGGCCATTGGCGAAAAATCAATACAGTTTGTTCAGATATGTCACTTTGCACACAGCGAGCAAAGTCTCCCAAGATGCATTAGAAAGATTTAAGCATTGTCTTCCACCACTGGAGGAGACCTATGGGTGGTCCGTTTACCCTGAACATCTAGAAGATTTGAAGTCAGTTCAACAAGAAATGACTGAATTGTCTCGCATCTTGAAACACATTGACTTTATATCAATTAGTGGCAAGATATTGGCAGATATCATTGAACCATTGAAGGTGGTACCTCTTGAAATCCTCCTTGACGCCTATAGACACAAGGCAAAGAATGAGGTAGTTTGGGAGGAGAAAAAGGCTTTGATGGAATTCACGTGGGACCGCAACTTCTGTGGACCAAATGTAGGTAAATTTTCAATTGGTCAATCTAAATTGAATTTCTTGTAATCCTAATAACAAAGGCA